AGCCTTCTCGGCAATGAGCCGATGGACATTGGAAAATGAACGGGCTCTTTGCACTGTGCTGGTTTATTTGTACGGGCTCATGTGTTCTTTTACGGGTACCTCGACGGTCGACCTTGTGGAGGGTATTGGATGTGCGCATGTTGCCAACCAGCCCCCAACCGTCTAACTCGACCAAGAACTTCACGACGACCGATACGTTTCCAACCAGTCTTCAAAGAATGCGGATTGGGCCCCCTTTCCCATCCGTATCGATGAGATAGCTATGCTACTGGCGCATGCCCCTGCCAAAGAGTTACCTTCTTGCTGGACAGATTTAATTGAACGTGGCAGTGGTTGTCGATGGAGATGGTTGGGATCAAATTGCTAGGCACCCACCAGGCATTGGTCTCGCTGTAAGATACGTCCCTTTTAGCGGGTGGGTGCAGTGTCATTCATTACCCACTGAAGCTGTGGGTAGCGCACTTCCAGCTACGGGCCTTACCCACGCCCTGGAACCCACACCACCAAACTTCCCACGCCAAACGCCTGTCTGGCACTCCAAGGCACCGCGCCCATCGTTTTTATCTGCTGCCGCCTTCGGCTTTGAAGCTTGGATATTCGAGAATGGCGAGATCTTGATAGGCAATGAGTCTTTCTTGCGTCTCAAGCGCGACACCTTTTGCTGGAGGAGAAGATCAACCCGTAGGTAGTTGGGCACGGCAGGCACAACGAGAATCTGGATCTCCTTCAGTGCACCTTGAGGGCCTGGATGAGACGTCATGTCGTGGTTTGTAAAGGTCACGCAAGGCAATCACAGGCTGCAGGGCTTTCAGATTCATCCCCTCCTCAGTCACAATGAAGCCCACCAAGCCCACCAAGCCCAGCGGCCCCTCTGGCCACCAAGAAACGAGACCGACCCACACCAAAGTACCCTTCCTCGCACCCTTCACTCTGATTTCCACCCCTCTTATGCGTGGCTCCTTTCAAACCCGCCATTATCAACACTCGAAAGCTACTCTGGTCATGTTTGAATTGTAGCGGTACCGCAGGTCATACCAATTTATCCACGGCACAGACATTGCCGTTTCCACCGCTCAACCTCAAGGAGGACGCCAGACAGGCTGACCAGCGAAAACGCAGCAAACGATGTCGGCGCGTGGCTTGTTCAGACGCGGAGGGTGGCTTGTCCTGGTGCGATGGGGTACTGTGCGACCGGACCGGTGGACACATCCAAGCGACAGAGCGGACAGAGGAGACTCGGCAACTTTGGGAGGCAGGTCGGACACACTATGTGACCTATCACCATCGCAGTCAGCACAGGCATGCATCCGATGTACAGGATATCCACAAGACTCACCGCACTCGAAAACCAAAAGGTGCAGCGCCGGCTCTTCTTCGCAAAGGGGACATTCTGGAGACTGAGGCGGGTAGGCCAGGATGCAACGTTGGCTTTTATGGCAGCACTTGGCGCCCCGGGCGCAGGCCCCACATGCCATCTGCCAGTGAGCCAACGGTCAGCATTGCAATGGTGCGTGGCGAGAACGAGGTCTTGCTCACATGGAAACACTCGGTAAAAAGATACTTCTTCTCGACAGAGCTGCTGCAGAGGCATCCGCCACCCGCCATGGTACGGGACATTCCTGAGTGGGACAGAGTATAAAGGCTGCTGGGTCCCGGACTGGGCCGAATGGCGCGTGAAGAAAGGAACTCTACCTCATCCTCCTCATCATCCTGTCGGGCGTCTGCAGCTTGATTGGCACTGGAAGAGGGCAATCGCCGCCAACTGATGATATGGACGTCGTCATTATCGTCGTCGGCCTCACGGCCTGGGCCTTCAGCGGGTCTGTTGGCGTTGTTGGACATGATGCAAGGCGCGCGCGCTTTTGGGACTTTCGAAAGATTCAAATTGAAATGCGGCTTCGGAACTCTGAAGCCAGTAATAGAAAACCGGAAACCACCGAAGCGGACGTCGACGGCGTAGGTTGCAATCTTTCAATCCAAAGGCAAACGGCGTCAAAGCAAACGACAAAAAACGAGGTTGCTCCGGGCAGTGTCGCGCTAACCAGATTCGGATGGTGCCATCTGATCTGATCTGATCTATGAAAATCTCATCGGCCCGGCCCGAAGGAATTCTCCGAACCTGTGTGCGTCTGACAAGGCACGTACCGACGCACCACCGGGCCCGTCGCCCACCACAAGGTGCCAATCACACACGTTGGCTTTCTGACTGCCTGACCTGCATGTCCCAACTTCAAGGGCAAAATCGGCACGTACCGACAAGCCGCAGGCTTTCGCAGCATTGGCAGTTGCAGCCCCTTCCGCTGCGCTCCATACCTGTATTCCGCCCTGAAATCCGCGTCCTGCCCTGCTGAAAAATCGGCACCGAGCCACCAAAATGGAGCAACAAAGTCCACTCTTGATTGACACCTACGAAGACAAATGACAAGCGGCCAGGACCAGCTTGCAAGGGGGGCTGGCATCAGAATTTACTAATCAATAGACTCACAAGCGTACACAAAATGGCTCTGAAAGCTCCTCGAATAGCGAGGCTGTGTCGCAGGGACTCATCCACCAGAGACCTCACGTTCTAGTGGACCAGAGGGGTGCGCGAAGTACGTGTGAAACTTCGAAAAGTCGATTTCAAGGTCTCACCACCCGTTTCCCGTCTGTTCCGATTCGTGTATCAACTCCATGGCGGACGCCGTTCTCATGCGCTGCCCCAAACGGGCGTGATCCGGGGGAGGAGAGTCTTCATCCGAAACAAGAAAAGCCAGAGGTAGAGAAAGAAGAAAACTCAAAGCAGACGTAGATGAAGCCATTTCGAGCAACGAAGCCCACATCATTAATCTGGACTTCATGGATCGTGATTCAATGTGGCTTGCATTCGACTAGTCCCGATTTGAGACTCTCAGCCAGATTAGTTCTTCAACACCTTCTACTCGGCGAAGGGCATTGCGAAAGTCGTGCATCCGCTCCAAACCTGTAGCAAGTGCCACCCCCAAAAGCATCTCGCATCTCTCAGACACGTATTTGGCAAAGCGGCTGAAGGAGTTCATCTCGAGGCTAGGTCTCCTCGAAGCTCTGACGATTCAGCTCGTTGAGACTGGAGGTAATACCCCCCTTGACCCCTTGAGTCTTTTTCTGGTGGCATAAGGGTTTGTGCTACGAGTAAATGTATTATATGGACGGTCGGCTGTCGCTCTTCTCTACATTTACTGTCTCTCTCTGTGGTGTTTGAAACCGTCTGAACACGCATGCGGTGACTGGTAGCAATGGGCCCGCACAAAGTTACCTTCGCATCTCAAACGCGTGTTATCAGGTACTTCATGGCATTGACGCACCCCAGGAAGCAAAACAGTCAGTTTCTGGCAATCATAGAGCTTTTTCTGGCAAATCTCAGCTGAGTTAGCTCACTTCATGCGCGATGCTGCGCAATGTGCTGCACCACAGTAGCTTGCTTGTCTCTGAAGAGCGAGGTGACCTGCCTTGTTTGTAGCGATTTGGAAACTGAATGACGAGGGAGAGACGGTGAATGAATGCTCTGAGCATCAGAGCGAAAGCTACTTCTGAAGGGTCCATGTCCCCAAGCCACTTTGCGCAGCTAATATCATGTTTAGCGCTGATTCTTTGGCCATGATCTTGACAACAAGGTTGGTGAGGTTGCGCAATGCTGACTCCAAAGCAGCCTTGGTCTCACCCCTTGTTTGGATTGAGATTTCTTCGCCGCTGTCGGTCGCCGTACACGAACTACCCATTAAAGCTTGCTGTAATAAACGGGATGGCACAGGCTGCCTGAAACTTATTGCCATCATCTTTCCTCCAATATCCCGACCGTCTTTGTTCGGTTTCCCAACGCCAGAATCCCAAGTTTCCCTCCAACACACCTTAGTCCTAGATGCCTGATGGCAGGCACAGAGATAACATGACTCCTCCTGACTCCGCCGGCATGCCCAAGATGAAGAAGACCGTATCTCAAGTCTCTTGTATCCAACCGCTTGCCTGTTTCCCCTGCATCAAGCGGGACCAAGGTGAGTCCAAGCATGCACAGTTTCATGCCACAACCAGCGTCCGTCACTTTAACTCGTGCTTTATGAGGCTGAGCTTTGCGGTAAAGTGCACCGAAACCAAGCCCAGCACAGCCCCTACGAGGAAGCTGCCCCGATGCAGATAACATCATCATCATAAGCAATACTTCTGCTCGAAACCAATATAGACTGGAACAACTCATGGTCAACAACCCGTACAGACAGGGGAAAAGCCCGACGCAAAGAAATAGATTGCGAGAGTAACCCACATGCAAAGATGCGAGAGCGTAAATGAGTTAGTGGACAAGGACTCTGTAATATTAAACACAAAATAATGTTGCTTACTTGCTCGCTTGTGTTGTGGGATCTCCGGTTGCTTCGGCCGGGCAAACGGGCGGATCGAGCCAAGACCGACTTCACGCCGTGTTGCCAAGAACCAGAGCGTGCCAATCGTCATCAAGACAGGCCGAATGTCCAGTCATTTCTGAGACCATTTCTTGCAGGCATGCTTCTGCATCTGTTGTACAACGTGGCACATTCATTTCGGTCGGTGTCAGTGGGAACACTTTTTCGCGAGCAGACATCATCACGGAGCCCATCACGGAACAGCCAGCATTCACGTCGCATCGCGGGGCCAAGGGAGTTGCAGCTAGCCATGCATGCTGGTCCTCTCCCACGCATCCCTGTCCGAAACGAGCGCCGATACCACGCAACTTGAGCCAACGCGGTGCCGCTGCTCAACGATAGCCTCGACTCCCTGAGCCGGCATCTGAGGACTTGCCAGAGCGGCGGCTGCGTCAGACCTGGCAGTCACTGGTGAAAAAAGTATCGGTGATCCATGGGTGCGTTGCGATTCTGGTTCATTCATTCTGTTCCACCTGGCTACGAATTCCTGAGACTAAACCATCTTGATACATTGGCAATGCCCTGTCACCCTTGTCGTAAAGTGCAACGTGTGGTGCGCAGCTCCCGTCCTCATGCCAGCACCTCGACAAACTATTTCGGCGTGCTGAAAAACGCGGTGGGCCAGGAACGGTCAATTGAGCCTTCTTGGGACTTCTTGGTAGCATGGTAGGTCTCGGGATCGAAATCGTAGATTGGTGCCCCGAGGCGACGAAGGGAGTGAATGACCTGGAGCCGTTTCAGCGTGAGATTCCAGTTGGCAGTTGGCCCTCGGAGGGGTGGTGGTCTGGCGAGAACCGCAGGCGGAGGCCAAAGGTGGGAGGAACTCACGTCGTGAATGGTGATGGTCTTCGCACCGCGGTATTCCACGTATGTGACATAATAGCCACCGGTGATCTGGCACTACGTCAGTAAAGCTAGACATGAAGAACGTTCGTGGTTTGACACGTACAATGGTCGAAGATGGTGATATTCTTGGCCCCGCGGTACTCAACATTGCCCGGATAGCCAACTGACACTGCCCGGCTAGCAAAACGCTTCGACATATGTGATGCAGTCACGAATGATCTGGAATAGCGTCAGTCTAGATGGTCATAAAGAACGTTCGTGATTTGGCACGTACACCCGTGAGTCGATCCTTCAGAGCGGTGCGTGCATGGTCGTAGATTGCTGGACCAGGTCCTCGACACTTGAGTGTCGCGGTGCCACGCCATGATGATCCACGCATTTTGGGGATGCGATGGTTCAGTCCCAAACTTCCAGATCGATGTTGAAGGGCTGTAACAGACCTCGACACCCGTTCGTAGCGTGAAAACGAGGCAGTCCTCCCTGCATCAAGGTTAGAGTGTTTCCCATATGCGGAGCGAGAGGACGCACCCAGATCCAGCGCCAGATACAGGAAGAGGACTGACCTAGGTAGAGCGGAATCGACTTCCAGAAAGGTTGGGGTTTGGAAACACCAACCTTGGAGAAGTTGGTCGAGGCTTCGATGTCGCTCTGTTCCATGTGGGTGTTGGGTCTTGTTGTGAAGTGATCTTGAATGCGTGCCTGATGAGCGTCCTCTGTGGAACGTGGTCTGGGTGGGAGGTAAGTAGCCCTGTGAGGTGTAGTTTGGTCTGCAAATACCTTAGATTGCATCGGCCTCGTAACAATGTCGGCAGCAACCCATTGGCTGCCCCCGAAGATCGCTCATGCTGAGCATCCTGATGGAACTGGCTGGCATGGCGGTCGAGGATCGGAAAGGGACTCGTTCCAACGGCGACATCCAGAAGGATGGAGAATTCTGCGGTGCGGACTTCGTGCAAAGAGCCGCCTCGAAATGAACAGCTGAGAGGCGAGATGACGCACTGGAGTTGAGATCGATGCTTGTTTGACGAGAAGAGGGAACCGAGACACGGCGAGGGGTATGTTGGAAATGGTCGTTCAGGCGAGAGGATTTGGTTTTGCAAGGCAAGAATACTCGAGCGAGGGGGACGAGGGAAAGCGACGTGGAAGGGTAGAAAACCCCAACAGAGAAAGGACCTTCTCGGCTCTCACATATTTCCCCGTCAGAGTCATGCGGCAGTCATAAAGATGTGCTCGCGGGCGGTAACCTGCCGAAGGTATGAAAAGAAAGTTAGAAGGAAAGAAGGAGAGGGTCAAGGCATCGACGTGGAAGCAAGAGACAACGACCCACGGAGGAAGTAGGGAAAACAGACAACACTTGAAGGCAGCACCTTCCCAGCCCGCCTGGGAAAGTGCGAAGAGGGAAAGCGGGCGGGCCAGTCGCGAAAAGACACAAATCACTTGGAAGGTGCTGCACAAAATTCAATGGTGGCAGCTGGCACCAATTTCTCCTGCCGACTTTTCGTCAGCACTTCTCTCCACTGCCACCCGCACCCACTGTCACCCACCCGTAAGTTCTGCTTCGCACGATGCACCCGCAGCTTGTACAGTGGTGGCTTTGGTAAGGTTGAAGAAGCAGAATTCCCGTCTCGATTCATCTTCTTTTTTGGAGTTTTCGCGTCAGAGAGTAGGATTACACGCATCGTGGATTGAATAATTAGGCACCAAAGCAATGACTTCCCCCTCATGTCCGCGGACCAATTCCATCCATCTCCCCAAATACTCAACGCCAGCCACCTCAAGCTTGTCCACATCCACAGCCTTCCGCTATTCTCAAATGCTAGTCCTTCAACCCTCATCAGGCTGTTGAGACGAGCAAGCTGCTCCCCAGGAGGCGCATCTAAAGCTCTGGTCAGCGTCCAGGAACACCGATCCCGATCAGCAACGGCACAAACCTGTTCAGGAAAACCGCAGGAATCGCAGGCATAGACTTTCTGTTCTCGTCCCCTTCACCTTGAGTCTTCTTCGTCGTAAACCGTTGCACTGGAATTGCAACAGTCTCATCGCCTTCTGGCGCATCTGAATCTTTCTTCTTCCTCCGTTTGGGGGCGGCTTTGAGGCTACCAGCAGCCATCCCTCTTTCTGTTTCGCCGGACTCCCATGGGTCTGTTTCTTCCGCCTCTTTGTCAGGGGAACATCGCGAAGCTCGTCCGCAGGAGTTGAGTCCGAACGGGGGCTGATTCGTCATGCATTGCTTGTGCCGAGGGGTCTGGAGGGGCTGGTTCTGAGTTTGGGCATCTGCACAAGAGATGGGTCAGAGAAATGGAACTCAAAGGTCTGGAAAGGTGCAAAATACCACCATGTCGTCAGTCCTTGGGGTTGTTAACGAGATTGACGGTGCGTAGTAGTCGAGGGGACTGGGAGGATGTCGTCTGGTTGGGATGGATGGACGGATTAAGTCTGATGGACTGCACCGCTTTATTTAAGCGGCGAGAGATCTTGGCAGAGGGGAGAAGGAAAGCCACTGACCTATCAAATGGACCATGCGACCGATGGCCCAGGACTTGGAGCTTGTTGGGCAAGAGCATGAAACGGCAGAGAGGACCTGAAGAGCTGCGACCTCATGGCTTGGCTGGGCAGGTACAGAAATGCCTGCCTGCCTTTTGAGAACCAGCCAGTCTCACTCAGAAACAGCAAGTACAACACAGCTGCACCTGTACAAGCACCTGCCCAAGTATAAAATTAATGCACATGTCCAACTGACTCTGATCTGCCGGTCATCTCAACGGCAGTGCCTTCAACCGGACCGCTGATTCAAGAGGCATGCATGATGCGTGCCGTTCTCGCCTTAGCTTATGAACCTTGGAACCTCGTTTCAACCAAGGCCTAGTCCTCAGCGCAAGCTCACAAGCCTCCTCAGCATCGATGCTGCCTTGCTGTCCGACCTTGAGAGGCACATCATCCACATCGAAAGTCGCTGTCGACCTCGCGTAAAAAGGATTCGTTTCAGCCGCCCACGAACTCATACCCAAGGAAGTGCAATCAAACGCCGGGCTGGAGCGTGAGGATGTCTTCACAGCTAGACGCGCCATCACAGCGAACATGATCCCAAAGTTCATGGAAATGTTGGTGTTTCTCAGGGCAGCGTTAGAACGACTTTGCTTCATTAATCCCTACGGAGGCCTCCCTCAGTGTCCGCCTTCCTCCTTGCCTCAAGCTTATGTCCATACTTTCAAAGATGGTCCAGCGGAAAGTGACCTGCCCCAAGTGCTGGCCGGCATTAACTTCCCGATCATCCGGACTTTCAGGTCACGCCTCCCCCCGCCTTCCCTTCTAAACCACCGCCTGCTCTTCGTCAAGTGCGCCTTCAGAAAGCCCTGGCTTCTGTCATCGGTCCAGTCTGCCACCCTGAAACTTCCATTTTGCCAGCCCGCGATCACCTCTTTCGGAGGCTATGGTAACTACCCGTCAAAAAAGACTCACAATGAAAGAGAGGCAGAATCCAGCGAGGAGTATGACTTGCGCATGGGCAAGCTGATGAGCAACCAGCCGATACGGATTCCGGTGCCAACGAGACGGGACAACGACCGCAACGCCCAGATTCAGGCCGAGGCTGTCGGGCGGACTGCGATGTTGACATCACAGGTTTCACACGTCCATCCGGGCGAGCCAGCCGATGAGCATCAAGGCCGATGGCGTTAACGTCATCAGCACCAGGACGGTCGCGAACGGCATCATGTCCATCAGCAAGGTGCAGAGACATAGTCAAGGGGGCACAACTCGTCAGGCACCCGCTTGCAACATAATCAGAAGCCACAGAGTAATCCCAATTTGGCACAGAATACAAATCATCAGTGTCGGAATCAGCAACGGGAAGAGAATATCATGAGTTTCGCAGATAATGGCAACCGAAGACTCGTCGCTAATTGGGCTGGCTGTCAGGTCAGATCGCGCGGGTGGAGTTGTGGAGCGAAACTGTTGATGCCTGCGATGAGGCGAAGCGTGACCGCGATCACCAGGTGCTCTTGCGTGAATCTGAGTCGGCTGATTTGGCCACAGAGGTAACTTTGACTTGACTGCTACCTCATATGCAATTTGAATCATGAAGAGAAACGGTCAGAAGACTGGGATGTTATGATAGCAGTGTGGAACAACAGGCGTTTGTTGCAGACGGACCCAGTCGAACATGTGCCCGCACCACTCCCATACAAATTGACGATAAGAAGAGGAATTCGACTAGGATACCTGAAGAACAGACATGGATACAGAGTCAGAAGTTGGGATACGCCATCTCATAAGGTGCCTCGGCGCGATACGTTCAGGGGGAAACTTGCTGCGAACCCCTTGACCGGTTTGATTGGCCGCTCACTCAGGAAGTGGGGTTTGGGGTTGGAAATTCCGGCGTCAGAAGCTTGGGCCAGTGCGACCACCGCAGCTCGTACGTACCTTGGTGATGTCTTGATCTCTCGAAGTCAGAAGGGTATGACTTTCCAGGGTGACACTGGAACGAGCAGTACTTGTATGGTAAGGGAGGCGAGAAAGGTTAGCAAGTGTATGTGCACTCCATTCTGGATGCGAGTTCCTCGTCGATGGCAAATTCGAAAACGTTGTTGATTGTCACTCTCTTGAGAGCAACTCGTCTTTAGCGCCTTGGTGCACTGCTAGCTACCTGGCGGCTTCCACCATGTAGGTACCTGTAGCGATACGTACCTTTCAGTGGGTAGGTGCACTGTAGCTACGCAGCATGCCTGTCCGTAGCGCATTTCTGGCTACCAGTCCACGCCACTGATTGGCCCATGCATAATGAGGTGGCTTCCAGGTTCTGCCTCCCCACTGAACTTTCAGCGACCACCTGCATTCCAAAGCTGAAATCGGCATGTGGCCACTGAGGGCGCCAACCACCCGCCACTGCTGCAGCTTGTAGCCGCCCGGGCAGCCGTCCCTAAAGGTCGCGTCGCGTCACACTAACACGCCACGACTGCAACATCAAATCCATCAACCCGGATGCAAAACCCATTCTTCTTCTCTAACATTCCGCTCATTTCCACTGAGTTGCTAGCTTGGCCCATTCATCCTGCCGTTCTCGCTCAAATTAGTTCTTGACTGCGATGCGACGGCGCTCCCACGCTCCCACGCATGACGATGTCGCCGGCTTTCGACACAACGGAGCAACGCCGTACGCCGGAAGCTCAGTTGGTAGCCTGGGATGTATGCAGCCTCCCGAAATGCCAGACTCGACCTCTTTCTCGACAACTGCGCAAATCCCGATCCATGAAGCTGATGCAAGTGCTTCGCGATATCATCCAAGTCAGACGTTGGTTTTGAGTTGGTGGCGCATTTGCCTTAGCGTTTGAACACACGACTTCAAGCCACATTACATAAGCAGATTTCCACACGGCAATATCCAAAGACCAACTCCTCTACCCATGATCTAATCCAAGACGAACGAAACACCATTACTCCCCATTCCAGGCATCCCACGCCTTCTTCACAACTCTCTCAAACTCCACCGCCAGCTCCTTCAGCTCCTCCTCCCACCTCATGAGATCCGCGCCCGTCGCCCAGCCGCCCTTCTCCCGCGCCTCCTCTTCCACGCCGCGCACCGCCCTCGCCAGCTCGACCAACCCGGGCACAACACCCCTGTTCAACCGTCCCCGCAACTCTCTCAATTGCTTCATCTCGGCTCCGGCTGCCTCGCACGCGATCCCTGCCACGGCCCCCTGCGCCTCCACCACAGCCAACACCTCCCCGGTCCTTGTGTCTGCATCTCCATCCCCCACCCCGCGCAGCGCCTTCTCCTTCTTCCCCAGCGCCTTCTTCCACCCGCACGTCGCCTCCACCGGCCCGAACGTCTCCTCCACCGGCCCGAACGTCTCCTCCACCTTACCCGGCTCCAGCTGCTCCACGAGGTCTCTGAAGGTGCGCAGCGCGCCGTCAAACACAATTTTCAATCTGCCGATCCGCGCGCAGGCAGCCGAGGCGGGTGTGTTGAGTTTGCCGACGTGGAACCACCTCACCTTCCCCGCGCTCTTTTCCCTCGCGATGTTCCGGGCCGCGCGCTGGTTCGACGACACAGCGCCCAGGGCGGTGCGGACGGCACCCTCAAAAGCTGTGAGGTGCGCGGCGGCGGACGGCGGGAGTGGGGTGAAGTCTGTTGCGTGGGAGGCCCAGGCGGCGAGGTTCGGGAGGGCGTCGCCGTAGCGTGGAACGGGAGGCGCGGGCGCGATGGGGTAGGACAGAGGCTCCTCGGAGGCTTGGGACGGGCAGAGGTTCTTGAGGGCGAAGTTGGACACGGCGGAGGCGATGGATACGTCGTGGGTGTCGGTCTGGAGGGTTTGGATGGTGGTGCAGAGGGTGGCGTGGAGAGTGTTGAGGGCGGGGGCGAAGAAGTAGAACAGTCCAAAGGGAATGTAGACGATGCGGAAGGTGAGGAGCCAGGTGAACCATGACCAGAGCCATGAGAGGATTGTGGTGATGACGGTGAAGATGACGTTGGTGACAGTGGTGTTGATTCTGAAGGACGTGGTGGTGGAAATGGGGTAACTAACTTGTGTCTTCTCGCCAGACTTTGACACAGACTCCTGCGGGGGAACATCAGAGGCATCCGACACTTGCCTCTCCTTCGCCTCCTTCGCAGCCCTCTGAGCACGAATTTCCGCCCGGAGCCTCTCCTTGCCAGCCTTGTGTGTCGCAAGCTCCTCCTCCGTCATCATCTTTGCAGCAGCAAGTAAGCAAGCTACCGCCACGCCTCGCCGCACTTCTCCTGGAGAAACGCAATCCGATCGCTCGCGCCGCCAGAGAGTGAAGGCTCGAAGAGGTGGTCGTACACGGTGCGCGTGTCCTCGTCAAAGAGGATGGCCGTGACAAGCGCAGTCACGACGGCGTTGTTGTTATGGATTATGTTGTTCTCGTTCGTATCGCGATTGTTGTTATCGGGATTGGAGTTGGAGTTGGAGTTGGAGTTGGAGAAGAAACCCCCGTGAGGAAAGTACTCAATCAACGTGCCCTCGACAGCCAGATAAATCTGGTGCGTGGAGCAGCGCCGGGCGGAGGAAGACTTGGAGCGCGCCGGGGTCGGGGCGCAGGCGGCGGCGATGTGGAGGTATTCGTACAGCGAGGGCGGGCGGTTCGTGGGCACTGCGAAGAGGATTACGGCGTAGGCGCGGCAGATTCGCGTGACGGTTTCGCTTGCTGTTGGACGGTTAGCTGTGGTTGCCTCGAAAGGGCTAACAGAGGGGGGGAAGTGTCTTACATTTGGTGACAGTCTGTGTTGAAGCGGGCTTCTTGATCTCAATCACGAGGGCGGGGGGCGGTGTCGAGCACCAGGTCCAGCCTTGGCAGAGTGAAAAGAGGACGCAGACGGCGACGAAGATGTTGAAGGGGATGCCGTGGGGGAGCATTGTGGTGATGCAGACTGGAGACGCGGCATGACAGAGGGAGTGATGCGCGCATTTGTACTTGAGCTGAGGGTTGCTCGATGGTTAGCGATGGACAAAGAAGACACGAGACACGGGCCGAAACAACATGCGACCCGAAGAAGCCTCGTCACATTTCAGATCTGGTCAAGGCTTTCTCGTCAGCCTCATCCAGACCGGCAAAACAAGAACAGAAAACCAAGAGGATATATCATCCCCCCTTCCAACCCTCACTTCTCACCCCCATATCAGCAAATCTTTGCCTTACCATCGATGGGCCGCCACTTGATCACGCCCAACACCCCCATCCACCTCGCCGAATACCGCGACCACGACCCCCAAACAGACTGGCCCGCCGACGCTCCCCTTCGCAGCACCTTCCGCGTCAATCAACTCGTCACATCGAAACGAAACAGGAGGATGGCCACCGACTACAGCCTGCGCGCGCGGCAGCTCCTGCGCTACGCGGCCGCGGACCCGGCTCAGCCGCATGCCGACACCATCACCAACGAGCACGTGCGCCGCGCGCGTTTCCTGCAACCGCTGTACGACCCTGCCGCAGATGAGGAGGAGGACGAGGAGCGGTGGCCTGCACAGTGGGCGGAGAGCGTGAAGAGCCTGCGGGGGTTTGTGACGTGTAGGCCGTGGAAAGAAGCTACAGAGGTTCGTTTCCCCCTTTTTCCGTGAAAGACAGAATGCTAATGTTGAACAGGGATATCTCGCCATTGTGGAGGAGGAGAAGGAGGATAAGGCGGATGAGAAGGATGTCGCAGCCGCAAAGGTTAGTTCTCTCTCACCTTCACAAAGACAACACTGACATATGTCAGGATCAGGAACAGCCGTCGGCGGAAACCGCTCCAGGACCAGAGCAATCTGACAATGAGGCAGCCCAGGCTGCCGCAGACCTGCTGAACCTCAGCGGCTTGGGCTCAGTCCTGAATCTGAGCGGCATGGGCACCGTTGCTCCGCAAACGACGCCCGTCAAGCCCGCGCCCCCTGCTCCCCGTCGCCCGCGCCACATCCAAACGCAAACGCTGCAGACGCCTGCCATGGCATTGACGGGTGGTAGCTCGCGGCTACCCGTGTCTACTACCCTGCTGCCGGGCGCTAGGCCTTTGATGGCAGGCGGTGGCAGAGGTGCTGCGAAACCTTTGACACCGGGCAGAGAAATTGCGACAACTGACCTATATCTCCCCGTGGGAGAGACGGCAGCCACTGTCACTCACCTGTCCCCTCGCTTGGGAGTCACAGGCAGAGACACAGCTTATCCTTCCCTGAATCCTGGCCTTGGCCAGACCGTCCAAGGCACTGCCACTTTCGACCCGTTGCCTCGGGTTGGAGAGACGCGCAGAGATACCACCAACTCTTCACCAGCAGGCGGCAGATACACTTCACCTAACCCATTCCCTTCCCTTGGACAGACTGCCCCTGTGCCCGGCGCATTCCCTAGTGTTGGAAACACTGCGACTGTGCCAGGCGCATTTCCAGACTTTGGCGAGACTCAAGACACCCCCGCGGCTTTATTCAGCACCAGCCCCAACATGTTCGGCCCAGGCGGTCGGCAGCGCAACCGCGCAAACGGCCTGGGCCGCAGCCGCAGCGTCTCCCCCAAGGGCGGCAACAACCCTGTCATTGGAGGTGGTTTCACGGAGGAAGAGATGGAGCGGTTCCGGGCGTGGGTGGCGCGGGAAGAGCGCAAGAAGGCCAGAGAGGCTGGTGGAAAGTAGATTGCCGTTTGTGTGTTTGTAACTTGCCGTCATCACCACCAGATGTCAGACCTCGGCTGTCGGTGATCACCACCTCAATCATTTCCGCATTCAATCATTCAATCTCGGTCTCATCTAATCTCGGCTTCATCCGCCCGTCATGTGCCAATCCAACTCCGAAACCGTACCCCCTCCTTCCCTCAGTTCTCACTGCCAGTAAGCTAACGCCCTCCAGCAAGTATGCGGCCGACCCCTGAGGAACCTCAAAGCCTCCAACACGCGGCACGTCTGGGGCCCGCGCTGCGCGCGCGCGATGAACCAGCACATCATCCGTCACTCCCTCAACCTGCACAGCTGCCACACGCGGCACATGGACGAGGTTGAAGCGGCGATGCACATGGTGCGCCCCGGCCCCGGCCCCGGCGCCAAGCGGTGGAGCGCCGAGTTCGACCGGCTCATGGTGCCGCGGATGAAGGACGCGCTGCAGGGAAGATTCAGGGAGCTGGGGAAGGCGGGGGTGTGGCGGTATGATGAGGATGGTGAGGTGGTGTATGAGGAGTGGGCGAAGGCGTTTGTGAAGGAGGAGTGGGATGGGGTCAGTTTTTCGAAGGAGGATGCGGAGCGGTTGTTGGCGCTGGATGAGAAGGAGGTTGAGAATGAGAGTGAGAGTGAGAATGGAGATGATGAGGATGAGGATGAGAGAGGCACAGTGCACCCGGAGGACTCGGTCTCGAATGTTTTCATCCTCACCCCACCGCCTACCCCGATCCGATCGTGAGTTGCGCACTGCGCGCAGCTGCCTCCCGTCGCAGAGGAGGAAGAGGAGGAGGAGCAGGATGACGCTGCCGCGGAGCTTGACGCCCTCTCATTCGCCGACCTCCGCAATCTTATGCTCGAAGCAGCCGGCAACTTGTTCGATTTCAAGGTGCACCTCGACTTCCTCGAGCATGGCATTGCGCGCGCCGGCGCCGAAGAGCGGGCGGAGGCCGAGGCGATGCGCGACCGGTGTCTGGAGGAGCTACGGGTACTAGAGGGCGCGCTGGACCGTGCCGCGGTGCGGGAGTTGGAGATCCGGGAGGTGGGCGGGGCGAAGGCGCCGCCGATGGGTGCTATTTGGGAGCGGCTGCTTGGAGGAGTGGTGCGCAATGCAAATTGAGATGACAGGAGGGTTCTGGGAGACGCGTGACGGGACAGTGTCTGTGGGCTTCTTTGTTAGGTGTCTCGTGGGTGGTTCTTGTCTCGGAGAGTGAGATTGGATGGGAAGACGTACGGTATGAAAAGCAGCATAAAGGAGCAGGAGTCTGGAAATACGATGTGCTGCGTTTCTGCATCTATTCTGTCTTTTTTGCAGAAGTCTGTCTAAACAGACTCACCTCCACCGTCACCATGCCAGATTCAGACTCCATCACGTCGCGCGAGATGGCCGAGTACCTCGAGAACAAGCGCGAGTTGAGTGAGAGGGACAGGGAATATCTAGCGCTCGATGCCAAGAAGAACCAGGCCACAGCTGCTCCCGAGGGTGCCAATATCAACGCCTACACCAACTGGGCCACCAACATGAACAACAACACCCTCAGCACCACCAACGCCAACGCCAACGCCGCCAACAATACCGCCATCAACGCCAACAATGCTGATGACGATGACGACAGACGCTCCGTCCTGTCCTCGCGCATCATGCGCTCCGGCCTCACCAACATCGGCCAGCTCGTTCGCAAAGCGCCGGGCTTGCAGTCGGCGCAGGACCGTCAGACGGTGGAAGCGGCGATGCGCGACCCGCGGTACCTTGATTCGTGGCGGGGCACTAAGATGGTGCAGCTTCAGCAGCTGCAGCAGCAGCAGTCGCAGCCACAGCAGCGCCAGCCACAGGGCTTCCAGTATCAGCCACGCCCCTCGGTTCCACTTGCTGAGCCACACCAGCCACAGGCCCCGCCACAGCCAGAACATGATGCGGCGTCAGTCCTCCAGCAATACCAGGATCACCAGCACCAGCACCAACAACTGCCACTGCCACTGTATGCTCCGTTCATTTCGCTGCAGGAAATCGACGCCGAACTAGATCGCGTCCCGCAAGAGCAAAAGGGCCACCTCTTCGAGGCCGTCGACTGCGAGGTGCGCGTCAAGGTGCTGCACTGGCATCGCCACGCGATGATGGAGCGGGAGGCCAACGCGAACACCGCCAAGAACAATAAAGAGTAGATTGTCGTGTTAGGTCAATTGATTGGATCATATGTTTACGGACTCGTTGCCGTGTATGTCGAGGTTTGTGCGCGTCTTTGAGAGTTATGCAGTCCTGAATGCTATTGTTTGCTTTCCCCACCACCCTCGTCCACCCCTACGCCCGCCTCGTCCGCCTCCTCGACACCAACACCCCCGCCACACCTCTCCCCGCCGTGCAACGCGAGTTCACCGAGCTGTGCACCCTCGGACGCGCCCTCGCCATCCCCGCGGGCGTGTGCCATGATATTGTCGATCTGCTGGACGGTACGAGTGTGCACCTCGCGCGCGAGCTGGTAGGCATCCGCGCGCGCGCTGGCCCGGGAAATTTGGTGGGTGCGTTGAGGGATACGGTGCTTCTGATGGCGTGGGGGATCGATAAACAGGTGCAGGAGCAACAGGAACAGGAACAACAGCAGGGGAACGGAGGTGGTGGCGAGGGTGTGTGGAACAGCACAGCCGAGGGCATCTTCCGCGCTGTGACGGCGCAGCTGCCCAACTGGTGGGACGACCATAACGCCCTCGCCGTGCCCTTGCAATCGGCCCTGGAGTCGCTAAGGCAGGCGAGGGGAATGGAAGGGGATGTACTGGGCGCGTTCAAACTCGCCGTTGGCAGCTTGGACCCGAATACCTTGTGAGTCGACTGCAGTCCCTGAACACCCAGGTCTTGAGGACCGCGTTGACTCTGTGACACATCACACAGCCCCGCCGAAGACGTCTTCTACGCATACGACCGCCTCTTCACCCCCCTCCTCCCGCGCCGCGACGCCCTCCTGACCACGCTCGAGTCCGCGACAAGGATGCTGGAGGACGCGGCGGGAAGGGTGTACGACTTCAACGCGACGCTACACGGGATACGGGCGGAGGCGAAGGAGGGGACACGCGGTGCATGTACGTTTGAGGGGCTCGAGGTGTTGCTTGGGCGGGTGAAGGATGCGCTTGCGTTGCTGGACTATGAGTTGGAGGCGGTGGGGGTGAGGCAGAGACAGAGGCTGAGAGATGGTGAGGGTGGGGAGGAAGAGGCGAGGGATGTGGAGGAGCGGAGACCGAGGAGGAGGAGGGAGAGGGAAGAGAGGGACAGGGAAGAGAGGGAGAGGGGGAGGAAGGCGTGGTGGAAGCTGTGAGTTAGATTGTTCAACATTGGGACATACAAACCTTGCATAGAGTGCGTGGGAGACTTAGCGGGCAAACGATGTATTGAAACGACCATGTAGACTAGCATCCCCTCGCTACTGAACATATCCAACATACCCAAACAACCCATGCTCCCTCATGGCCATCTCCGCCTCGACCTTCATACGCTGCGCCGCGCGGTGCATCTCGAGCGCCCGCGTGAACGCCTCGCTGGGTTGGTGATGCTCGTTAGACGGTCGACGAGAGACCACGGTCGAACGCCGCGAGGAGACGACCGTGGTGCCGAACGGGGAAGAGACCACGGTGCTGTTGGCGGCGGTACGACGCGCGTGGGGTCGTCGCGGGGAAATGAAAACGGTGGTCGGCGGCGAGGAGATGATGGTGCTGGTGGGCATGGGGTGGGGCGTCTGGATTCTTTGCGGCGGGGTGAACGCGGTCGATGACGGTGTTGGTGCCGGCGGAGCTGAAGGGCGAGGACACAACGGTGCTGTTGCCCACAACGCTGCCCCTGCGAGGCGTGCGAGGCGTCTGAGGCGGGGTGTACACGGTCCTGGCCGGCGCAGAGATGACCGTGTTGTTGCCGACGGTGCTGAACGGCGCGGAGACAACGGTGTCGGTCTCAGCGAGATTTGCCGCCGGGGCGGGCTGGGGGGACGGCATTGGACCAGCGGGCGTCAGGTCGACGGATGGAATGGGCTCCGCGACTGGCTTGCTGGCGGGGACCTCGTCCGCCTCGCTGGCGCCCCACGGGTTGAACGCGGGGTCGTGCTCGAGACTTGCCCACGCGTTGGGCGTCTCGGGAGCGGGGGCGGGGTCGGTGGCCGGGCTGTTGAGATCGTGGACCGAGGGCCGACTGCTGAAGGTGTGAGCTTTCGAGATTGGTCAACATCACGGCTAGCAACAAAGAAACCGGGGACGTACACGCTCTCAGGGCTAGACGGCGCCTGCAAAGACATGCTGCCAAACTGCTCGACGAGTGCGGGTTGTTCTGCGCGTATCAGCCCATACTCCCAACCATGACGCGGACGACCAACCTCCCTGCCACCAGTCCGTCTTGCCGAGAGCCTGGCGCATCCAAGCTTCGACAGCATCAACGCCGCCATGTGCCCATTCCGCCGTCTGCTGCTCGTCCCACCTGTAGCAGCGAGACACCGCACACCAAGAGACAAGCGCCCCGTTGCCGGGCTCCTTCACCCACTTGGTTGCATGGTGCTGCACCAGCTTGTCAAAGTATGGCAGGACGAACGCCCAGGCCGGGTCGTGCTGCAGGATATTACATTCGGCGCGCAGGCGAGGGATCGGGAGGCGGTTGGTGTCGGAGGGGAGGATGCGGTCGGCGTAAAGGGCGAAGAGGATGGTGGCGCGCGTGCGAACGCACCAGCGGAAGCCGCGCTGCTTCTTTGGGCTTGGATTCGTAGAAGGACAGCAGGGTGCCACAGAGTTTCTGGGGCGAGGTCAGTCAGCATGAGAAGGATGATGAAGAGGGGGGTTGCGACGTACAATGGAGTTGTTGGTGAGGCACATCGTGGCGACGGACAACCAGCAATAGGCTCGTAAGATGACGAGCTTGCGGGTGACGAAAAGGTCGCTGTTGCATCTCCCGGGGAGTCCGTGGATATACCAGACGACTCTTGCAGAATGTGCTCTGCAAACCGTTTACCGCTATCGTCACCGCTCCTGCGACCGTCTCTAGACCGCCATCATCGCCGTTCGTTCGAATGTCTCTGAGCTGATGCTGCCCATTGCCGAAACAGGAGGGGCAATCGTGGTGGCCATGGCCGGCGACACTGAAAGCTCCCCAGAGCTCCTGCGAGCTTCTGCAGGTTCATGCGGCGTGGTGCGTGAACACTGGAGCCTGCGTGAGACCGGCGAACTGGTTTGCGGCGGGCATCGTGACGTGGATTCTGCCAGTGGAGAGGAAATGAATGGTGGACTGCAGGCATGCAGGCAGACGAGAGGTGTTGATGCGGTGCAAGGAGGATGCCAGTCGCGCTGGGAGACGGTCTGGGCTGGCACCTGTCGTATCTGCCAGGTGGGCACCAGCCACACCGGTCACAAGCCTCCGATTTTCTAGGGCGATGTGCTGCCGGGCGCCACACTTCACATCCGCCCACAGCTGGCCTGATAAAGTCGTCGCACCTGCGACGAGAGCTTTAATTGCAGCGGACAATCGCATTTGTGGTACCTTAGTGGTCTGGTTCACTGATATTAGTGATGTGACTGGCCAGCCTTAGGATACCGCTGGTATCGTAAGGGCAGGCCAACCAGAGAGACGATTCACCCTTAGGATACCGTCGGTATCATACCTAAGGGTAGGCCAATCAGTGGGACCGTAGTGCAATAGCGGAATCTGTCACAGCCACGAGGAAGGTTCTGACCGATCCACTCATCGTGGACCTCTTCGGCCGGTCGCTCCGTTTTCAGGGACAACCAAAAGTCTCGTCAGACCCATATATTCTCCCACGAACGAGACGTAGTTGCTCAAGGTCCTCGCCGGAAGCTTCCGTCACTACGATGCATTGTATGGACCCGAGAACAGTAGGTTCCAGACTCAAGAGACCAAGTGCGCCTGCTCGACGCAGCACCTGGATTTTACGAGGTCCTGTACCGTGGGACTGCTCTATCGCGGAGTATCGCAAGCCCGCCGACAGCTGTTCATTCTATTACAGTCTGGTCCAAGCACCTTGAAGTCGCGAATTTAGTGATTACTTCGTCGTGTTCAATAGACTAACGCTATGCACCAGCCGCGCTGTGCTACCATTCAAATCGCAATAGCCACGTACGGTAGGTACCTCAAGGCACCGAGAAGTTCAAGTGGGCCAGTTTATTCACCTGGTGGGTCACAGCACCGTGTACATTGGCCTACAAACCGCAGCTTACGTAACGTTGAAGACTGACTGAGGCTCGAACTCATGCCTGCCAAAGCACCGCACAGAAATTTCTCGCTGCAGTCCACGTCCATCCGCGCAAGACCAAAAGACGGAAATTTTTTATCACGAATGTCTAGACTAGGCATGAATCATGTGCGATTAATTGATTTCGTTATGCTCATTTTCGAGAGATGTTGTCGCGCGCGCTCGACGTGGGATGGCGTTGCTGCCCCCACGTATTGAACAGCGCCCCCCCCTCGGGTAGCGGGGAATAAGATCTCAGCCCATCGCGAATCTAAGACCTTTGTGGGTCAATGTACACCTGGGGGTGCACAATGACCGACTTTTAACTTCTCGGTCACGTAATCGGACGCCCAGGACATCAGCGACCTTAACGACAAGTACCCAAGTTGAAGTTGTTATGCACGCCGAAGTTGACATGTCGAGGTTTGATGATGGCGCTTAGATTCCTCATGTCGCTCAAGGTTGACTGTAAAGAATCATATTGACGCGATGCCCCATACCCAATGCCTCTGACAAACTACATGCAGGTCGAAGGTTCCGTGAAGATCACGCTGCGCAGCCCAAAGTCGGGGCGTCAAGTCGCTCAGGTTGCCGGCTGAACGTCAAAGATCGAAGTTGCTATTCGAGGTGCCGCCTCTAGGTATATGCAGATGGTGTCTTTGAGGAGGGTTTGTGCAACTGTCGGTTAAAGTGACCGTATTCTGCGCTTTAGAGTGCAGCCATCCTCTATTATTACAGAAACATCGCGCGTCGAGATGTGCGGTGAAAACTGGATGCAGGGCCAGGTGCAGAAAATTTGATGGAACGCAGCGCACGGCGATAAGGCGTCTACTGTGCGGGCGCAGTCAGCAGGCCGCTCGTCGCGATCGCGGTGTGCCACGGTATGCTTTGGTGTGGGGCTGCGCCTTCAGTTTTCAAGAGCGTGTGTGGACAAGGCTCTTTTTAGTAATGAGACACCTTGGTTGTGGTGGACGAGACATCCTGATGGTACCTTAGGGGACGAGACACCTTGTTGGTGGATGTGACCCGACGAGACACCTCAACAGTGAGTGCCAGCGAGATTCTGTAGGACGGACCAGACTCGTACCGTTCATTGCACCGTCCACCTTCACCGTCGACCCCACCGTCCATTCCCACTGCAGTGTGTTCAGTCACGTTCAGTGCTCCGCCCACCACGTCTCCGCATGCGCCACATCACATGGGCAACGCCAGGTTAAGTTACGGCAACCACAACTCCACGCTTTCCATCCAAGGCCCTGAACCATTTCCCGAAATGCAGATGCGCAGTACCGCTTCAATCCTGCCACCATTGTCCCTACCACTGAAACACCAAAGCCCGCTTATCAAGTAGAACACCCAGCAGCCACGTCTCTTTCCGTGTTGCTGGGCATGCCCTCGATCCTGTCTTGGGGATGGGGTTCCGACCGTGAACACCGAGCAAGGACCACGTCGCGTCGATGAAAATCTTCTCCAGTCGAGGAGCCAGCATGTCTGGTGTCTGTGAAGTTCGGCTCATTGAGTTTGACGGTCGTGAGGGTAGATCGCTGAGGTGTTTTTCCAAAGGTGCCTGGCCGTTAGCGATGGTGCTTGGTCATCTGGTCAAAGAGAGGTCCACCTGCCGACTTCAGCGCTAGAACCGGCAGCTGGTCACTCAAGTGGGAAGGTAGGCCCGTGGTGGGTCCAGGTGTCTGCGCAGACGACCTACTGGAAAATGTCCTGCCGATTTGATGTCCTGCCGACCAATGGACTTGGAAGCATGCGCCTGCCTCCCCTACTTCGTACCTGCTCTGGTTCTTCGGACACAATCCGATGCGTCCGAAGACGACACTGGACCACACCAGCCTCAAAGTGTAGCTTGTGAAGCCTAGGAAGCAACTGGGCCAGCTCGTGCCTGAGATCTCTGCACTGCACACAACAGGAAGGTACCCGCCTCAAGAGAAACCCATCTTGGTCAGTTACAACACCGCTTCGTCTTTTTCCACCGACAATCCACTCACCGAGTGTGCCAGCTTCTCCAGTAAGCCGCCAGGCTTCAACGGAAGTGCCACGCGACACTGGGTCGCCTTCTCCAACGAAGAAGCACCGGGGCGAGTAGGCCACAGCCAGCGAAGCTGTTACGGCCTGATATTTCTGAGCTTCGGGCGTGTCTGCGGTGGATGTGGATGCGAGAGGGATGGGAATGGGACCCCAGTGCGTCAGTTCGCTGCGCCAATGCGCGCGCGCAAAGCTAATGGTGTGCCCAGTTGATGATGCGCGAAAGGATCGCGTGGCAAGAGACATTGAGGACTCGAAGCGCATGGGTCTGATCAAGGTTTGCGTCTACGACTGCTCCGTCAGAGCGAATCGGCCCACTCACAGATCGCATCGGCCGACCCTGGGACTTTGCGGTTCACCAGCGAGAAGACGGTCCTGCGCGAAAAGATGCGGAAGGCTGTCAACGAGAGACGTGTGACGAGATGGCGGTGTCGTCCTATCACTAGCAAAAAGGCAGTCGCGACTCGGGCCAGTTCTAATTCGACGCAGCATCCTCCCTCCTTTCAGTTGCAGCCGAACGCCGACTTCCCCTCTTGCAACTGCCTGCTTTCGGAGCTCTTTTCTGTCAGAAATCTTCAGAGCAAGTCTGGCATCGCTGCTTTTCATCTCTCTCTGCCCGTGGATCTCGGCAAGAGATGACCATCAGCAAGCCCATCCGAGTTGCAACCTCCAGGCTCGGCATCTTTCGACACGGACGACAACGACAGACGATGTCGATGGCGGACGACAATAATGACGGAAGACAGCGATAACGGACAACAACGACGATTGCAAGAAAGTAGTCGGTCTGCTTGCGAGGCGAAAACCAGAATTCACATCCTGGTGTCTGTGGCGATGCAAGGTACTGCTCGAGAGGAGGGTACGCCACTTCGAAATTGATCGTACGATGCGTGCCCCCGCGTTGCGAACACCCTCTGCCCCCCCTTCATTTGGGGGTGTTTCGAGCGATTCGAAACCTTCCCCCACGAAAGCCGCAATGCTCCCCTCAATCGTCCTATTCGCTGCAGTTCAACAAGACCAAGGCTAGCCATCTCGATGACCAGCAATACGCTGACCCCTCGTAAGACTCCAAGGACGCCAACGACAACGACCTATGGTCGCCAGCGTGGCTTTTACTGGTAACCGCCTCACCCTCCGTACCTACTGCCCGAGAAGTCTCTTCGTTGCTGCTTCCGAAGCGTGCAGACGCGTAGTTGTACCTGCTTACGGCACTGGTGGTATGTCAGGGCCTCCCCACGTTGGGGCCCGCGTCGGTTCCGATTTCGTTGCAACTCTCCCTGTGACGTTGGCTTTCGGTATCGCCGCGTTGAGATGGGCGAATTGCCTGAACCCAAGAGACAGAGAAAGAGCCAAGAGAATGTCGAGCAGGACCTCGAAGACAAGGATGAGGCGGGCTACCACAAGAGGTATGCCAAGTTATGTCCAGACAGATGCCATCGCTGCTCACATGCCCTGCAGTAGATCAAGTCCACTCGGAGACGCGCTGGCTCGAAGACCTCCATCTTCACACCATTTGTTACGACCGGCAAGGCCACGGAGGATGGCAAGCTGGAGGGGCTTGAACACATCGTTGGAGTCAAGTGGGCCAATGGCAAG